CACATAGATGGACATATTATTGTTGTATCGACAAATTGATTGTCTTTTTGGTCAGTCAATCTAACTTGTCTATTTTGGTACTAAAAATCGTCGTTTTCAATCCTCTTAGTTAAAAAAAAAAATTTCGGGTGTCGTATTTTCGCCCCCCCCCCCACCCCACCCAAGATTGAAATCCTGGCTACGTCAAGATGCTACCCTTGAAATGAGTAAAGACATAACTCATAGAATATATTTTTTATATGAGATCAAAACAAAATGCAAGGATGTTGAATTGCTTGAATAGAGTGAAAAAAATTTAAGTACGAAAGAAAGTTCAAACCTTCAAATGAAGTCAAAGTTTCAAAACTTACATTGTATGAGATATCAAGATGATGTTGAGGATTCACACTACCAAGAAATTAAGTCACCTATGGACAAATATTTGAAGACATAAATGAAGCAATATTACTCACCACATGCAGTGATGGATCCAAAAATTCAGGTGAGCATTGGCAGCCGTTGAGCTGCCAACCAATACAAGGAAAAAAAAAAAAATTCGGCGAAGCCAACACGAACGGCTAGGTGTTGGCTCCGCCCTTGACCACACGCAATAGAACCCCAAGACAAAATGTCCCTCTTAAGGTGTCACACCCCATTCATATATAGATAACCACACACTAAATTCTATCAAAATCCCCTAACTTTTTTTTTTTTAAAATGAAGACCTCTCCAAAAGTATATTCGAAACCAAAGATCATAACATCATAGTCCAACACATTTATTTTGACGTTAGAAAAATATCTACATGTCATTTCAAACATCATACATGATTCCCAAAATATAATACAAATGAAGCCCCCAAAATAATCCTACAGGTCGTCATTCATGTACATAAAACTTCGGAATCCCGTAAAAGCTCCACAGACAGCCATGTCTCCAAGAAGTTCCATGTTCACCTACAACGCGAAAACTACATAAGCCAATGCTTAGTAAGATAATCAAGCAGGTCATGAGTATAAGTGATAATAGTATATGACACCATGCCATTTACTTTAAACAATATGCTAAAGATGTATCATGCTCAGATAGTCATCAAAGTCGACTCGAAATAATCCCATTTGAAATCTTTCATTGGGCACCCACCTACTATGCACCGGATAGAGCTCTGTACGATATTAATATCAATAATCAATAATCAAATGGCCAATCTGACATCTACACCGGTGAGTGAACCATCCTCTTGTAACCACTAGAGGCCCATCCACTAGCTGCCCATATGATCATCCAAGAAGTATCCCACCATCAGTGCAAATAATCACAGTATCACAAAGACACAATCAAGTGGTCCACCTTCCTGTGATTACCAAAGATCCATTTCCTATCCACCTTTGTAATCAACTAGGAAGTATCACCCGTGGTGCCAAAACATATCACACAAGCATGTTTCACATGCCTCGGTGCCCTAGTAGTGGTCAATAAAACATTTTATGAGAAAAGCTCTATGTTGTACATGCTAGACTTTCAACCATGGACGTATGTCGTACGATAGACTCAATGATCATAACCGTCAAATGATACACAATAAGCTCCTTATCAAAGTTATGTAAATATTCCAACACTATCATACTATATTCTTGCATCGTAGTTGCAAATGGATTTTCACTTACCTTTTTGCTCTTGTGTGTGTGTGCGCTTCTACGAAGTGTAAATCAATTCTCTTTCCCACTTAAAGTCAGCAAATCACCTGTATTACCATCTAATATTAAATACAATCCTAAATTAGATAATCTTAATGCACACACAATCCCATGCTACGTCCATTCATGCTAAAATACTTTAGATGATATTAACAATTCAAGTTACCGATTGCATCACACTATTTCTCGAGTCCAATTATGAACTTCAATGTCATCCAATTATTGTTTAACCACCTAGCACTCATTAAACTCCATTTTCTAGGCCTAAGAGATAATCAATGAACATGTGAAGGGTGAATTTGTCAATTGGACAGAATCTGTTTTAAAATTTTAATGCTGCCCGATTCACTTTCCGGCCTCCTTTTTGTACTCTTAATCACATCAATAAATTCCCAAACCCTACCACACTTATATAACGTATACGAGCAAGTTAATATGTCATTAATTCACCACAAGTAACCAATTTACAGCCTGAAAACTAATCCCTTTTTTTGAACACTGAATCAAGAATTTTTATAATGACTGCTGTGAGTTTCATTTGGATTAGACTTTCAAAAATGGATCCTAACCTATTAAAGATCATTTATGTTGACCCCAAAAAATGTCGCTAACAGATGCGGGGCCCACTCGTGCACGTGCAAGCCTTGTCCAGCACGCGTGTGCCGAAGAACGGTCAGAAAGGCTCCAGAAGGTGGGCGTAGGAGGAGCTTGCCGCATGAGACGTCAAAGTTCGGGCCTCCGGCAAAATAGATAGAACGATTGTATAAGAATCCAATCGATGAATAACGAGATTTGTAATTGTAGATCTGTAGTTGAAATATACGTTGAAGAACAAGAGGAAAAATATTGCTCCAAATGTTTTGTATTCTTTTTATTTGGTATGAGAAGTTTCATTAACCTTTTTGTTTTACATGTTGGGGTATTTATAGTATTACAAGTTGAATAATGACCTTTGGATTAATTTACACGTGGCCTCATCTCCTCGGCCAAGACATCAAGTCCTAGCCATCAAGTTGACCCTCTAGCCCTACAAAGCATTAAATGTTCTTATATTGACAAGACAAGACATAGAGTTTACTTTATACAAAAGTCACGTCAATCATTCACACGGATCTTTCATCATTGAAATATCTTTCCATATGGTCTTCTTTTACGCGAGGCTTGGGCTTGGGATGGCAGTGAAGGCATATGAACTGTCTTCAGGGTCTCGGAGCAATAGCCAGGGCCTCGGAACAATAGCCAGGACCTCGGAATCCACGTCAGAGGCTAGGAGAATATATCTTGGCCTAAATAAGCTGGTCCCACCACCGAAACATGGTACCACGTGTCGCTTCTACATTATGACTCGTAACAATTGTCCCCCAAGTCCATGTGTAGTCATTTATGTCATGGGTGGACTTTCAGTAACAGAGTTAGAAAAAGTTTGAATTATGAATTTTTGCGATGTCACAATTTCTATACCTATAAATCTTATATGAGAATATTCAAAGTGATACACATACATTTCTTTCAAGGTATAACATAATATTGAAAGTTGTATTACTAAAATCCAGCAACCATTAATTTCTGTCCCTATTGAGTTAGCTCAAGTTCCTGCAACCAATTACCCTTGTTTTGCCACCATTAAATCATCAAAACACCCCAACATGATCTTAAAGACGTCCAGAGGTTCAAGAAACTATAAAACCCTCAAATGTTATAAAGACAAATCTCAAAATAGCGAACAACTTTAGCTGCCCAAAATTTTCAATTCCAACTTTTTGTTTTCTACTTCTCTTTAGCTCTTTTGCTTTTCCTTTCACTTGGGTTCATTTGAGGATAACTTGAAGGGATAAAATACCATAATATGGGGTATTTATAGAGTCCTAAAGGGTTGGGGTCGTGAGTCTTACTTAAGCATGAAGAAATTGGTGGTTAAATGACAAGTATCTTTCAAGCGTGAGGTGTCCAAGCATGATGTGGCTTCTTGCAGCCATACTTGACTCTTCCTTTCTCATATTTGGATCCTTATGTGACTAATAAGACATGTCTATCCAATATAAGGTGACAAGACTTTAGAAGACGTAATAGAAGCCTTAAGGTTGAAGGAATTTGATGCTAAATGACAACTCATCATATGCTAAGTAGGATGTGTCTCTTTCTAGTTACATTCTGATCTTGTACCAATCCTTGGACGGTTTGTATGTAATTTAAGGATGATAAGTCACATATTTGAAGTCTTAAAGAGGTGGTAGACGTGGATAGTGCTTAAAAGTGAAGGAATTGACCATTACAAGGATAAATCAACAAGTAGGAGGTGACTAAGTATGGAGTGGTCTCTTGGAATTATAATCTGATTTTGTACACATCATTGCAGGTAAAAATCAAGTATCCTTGACTTATTTTAATGTTTTTACAATCCAATTTACTTGCCCTAAGATCCCAAAATATTTTATAGCATTACTTTCTCAATCGTTCATTTAATTACTTACCCGATTGATACCCGATTATCGGCCAATTTCAACAATTCGTACCTCAACATTTATAACGTCATATAAAACCCATATTACTATGTAGCGATCATGTTACTTCATGTTTCATGTCCTAAATATGTCAATTACTCATTTAGAGTTTATGGTGACCTTGATCAACCGAATGGAAAGTTATAGTCGTTATCGATACTAATTTCGCTCTTTCAAAGTTCCAATTGCGTAACAAGTCAATCTTACACATCTAGATTAACCTAACTTCTCTATCATCGCTCAATGTAGAATTTATCGCCTGGATCGAAGAGTCGAAGGCTAACACCATATAAAGATCGTATGCTCTAAAAAATCACATATACCATTTTAAAAGAAAACAATTAGGAAAATTGATGCAAATGACATTGTAAATAGCATGCATAAATCATATTGGCCAAATATGTAACGTAAAGTTTGGGGTATTACTTAACCTTATCGAGAGCAGAGGGCAAGTTAAGATATGACCTTATTCTATTTCCTTATTCAACAACAGCAAGCCGAGAAAGTTTTGGTTTTTATTAATCTCGTTCCCTTTTCCTAAACCAAGAAACGGTTGGGAGATGAAATCAACCAAACGATTGAATGAAAGACTATTATAACCATACACCAAAAGTTAGCTCAAATGATAAGAACGAAATTTTCCCAGGTCAATGACACTAGTTCGACTTCTTTTCGGATGTAAGGGTACACAAGCAATCTACTACTACTAAAGGAATTGTAACTTCTTCCAATCGACTATTTGGATCAATTTCCATTTGCAGTCTTCCCATCTTGCTGAAGTTAAAAGAAAATTGTTAAAATATATAGATGGAGTGCTCCACCCTTAGCAGGCAGCGAGGAGCAGCGAGCAGGTGCATGGTAGGCCAACAACCTATTCCACAAAGAAAAGGGGGCACACTAAGCAGAGGACATCAAATATCACAGAAAGTAACTAGAAGAGAAACTGCAGTGCCCAAGGCAACAGAAAAATTGTCATTTTATCTAAAATGAGAAATGTGTGAATAAAATTACAGTCATCACGCTCATCTCATAGTAAGGAGAAAGAAAAAATATATATATATAAATAAAATTAACATGTAATACTGGACCAATATCAGAAGTCCCCATCAAAACTTAATTTTGTAAAAAAATTTCCCGCTTTTTCCTTTTGCGGGTGGATAGTTTCAATGGTTACTGGATAAAATCACCAGAGACGGTTATTTAAAACACATTTTCCAGAAATTGCGATGAATCCAAAGAGTCGACCTGAACAAGAAGTTTTGGGTTCCTTCTCAAGTAGAGCAGCTCGAATGTTCAATCATGGTTATGAGAGCCTAACATATAATAATTTCGCTGCTTTCCCTCTACATGTTTGTCCGAGGACTAATAGCCTTCCTCTTACGATTGTTCGACCTTGGTGACCGATATCCCTGGTCGGCATCATCAAACAATTCCAATTCCCCTTCTTCTACAGAGCCCCCATGGAATGGCTTTCCTCTCAATGCTTGGTAATGCAAATCTCCATCATCATCAGGATATTTCGCATTATGGGAATTCCCATGCTCTGGCCTCTTCGAAGACTTGAACCAGCTTTGTTTTCTGTCATGCTTAATCTTCTCACTATGACCAGGCAATTCAACATCCTCCAATTCTCTTTCGAGTTCATCCATAGGATCCATTTTACGAGTTATGTCCCCACGGGCTTTTCTCCGTTCAAGAGCTGCTTTAACCTTCTCTCTGTTGATCTTTTTTATAGCATCTTGAGGTGACTGGCCAACCTTACCATCCTCGGGGCCTGGATTTCGGCTATGATATTTATCCTTCACGTCCAAAGAATTCCTCCTTTCAGTTCTCCCAATATTTCCTTCTTCATGTTCCTGACCATGTCCATCCAAAACCGACTCTGATTTATTCTGGATCTCCCCCGTATTCCCCTCATGAGGTAATGCCTCTCGTTCATGGTTATAAATGTCATCAATCTCCTCATCTCCCTTGTGATCCGGAATACTATTTATTTCAGAATTCATGTTGGTTCTTACATGGTCATTATTTTGAGTCATTCTTGGCTGCCCATTGTGATTATCTGCATGTGGTTGATCAGGAACTGGCCTCACTGACGTTAAAGTTCCTGGCTTCGACGAATTGATGCGATCAGTGACATGCTCTTCACTTGCAGGAGTTTTTGGCTGAGGTCGACTGCCTCCAGCACTTCCTTCTGCTTCACTCGCCTGAGAAGGTGGCAGTCTATTTTGTTCATACAATTCTAACATCTGATTGCTGACCTCTGCAAGGAATAAATCCTCTGGTCAATATGGGAATAACTACACTTATTTTAGAATATAAACGTGCATTACAATTCCTCTCAACAGTAACATCCTTGACCCTCCCCCTTCTTTTTTTCGAATTTCATTTAAAAATCAAATTCAATTAAAAGCACCATATTATATTTGATTCATTCGACCAAATCATGAAAAAATGATATTGCTGTTATCCAACCCCACAAATCTAATATATACACTGCTGCCAAAGGCAGGCTAGAAAAACCAACCCTCCAATTGGCGTGGGGTTACGTCAAACTCCTGCCACCAAACCTTCTCACCATCAGATGGGAGCTTTACTTTGAGAAACTTGGCAGCAAGGAAAATAGCACCTGCTGCAATGTGGTGTGGCTTAAATTGCAAGCAGAGAGATGTCCGAAGCCTGCATGTGGCTTTCTCGGGTCAAAAAGAAAAGAGGAAGAATGGCCATGGATGGTCTCCATATTAGAACTGTAATAAGCAACATATCATACCCATCATTAACGAAATTCCATGCAACTTGAGCTAATGCATTTTGAGCAACCTTAAATTTTTTTATTGCTTCAACAAGGGGCTTATATGGATGGTGTAAATTGAGATCAAAGCCAAGAGTTGTAAGAATAACTCTCTCTCCCAGCAAAATTAGTTCTTTTTGTTGTTCATATACCTCCTGCAAAAGAATATATATCAAATAACTTTATTACGTAGTACAGAACCATTAGGAACAAGCTCAATTATTAGAAATTAAAGAAGAGAATGAATAATACATAGCATTCCTGATTGCAGGGGAGATAACAATGTTTTATTAAATACAGAAACCAATAAAGCATGGGATTTAATGCATTATAAAAAATGAGGCCATAAGTCATATGCGAATAAAAGAAGCAAGCTCAAGTATTTGCAGGCCAAAAAGCAAGATAAAAAGAACAAAGGTAACACCACCTTTTGTTTGATCCTCTGCAGAGCAGCAGGATCCTTTTTATGAACGATTTCATAGGACACTAGTATTACATCTTTCAGCGGACGAGGAGTTTCTTCAACCTTGCCAGCAAGAAACATACAGACCGTAGCAATGGTCTGCAAATTCAGGCACCGAATTATCAATTATGTGAACAGCAAAATCATCAGGGTAATTAAGGATAAAACAAAGCCATATGGTGATTATGTTCAGTTTTACCCCTACAGAACTTTTTGTTTTTCACGACTTCATCTCTAAATAAGATGATCACATTTATGTTGATTTTTAAGGTAGGGTTTTCTTTGTTTCTTGCATGGTATGAGATATTCTTTTTGCTTCTTCTCTGCATCTATTTTTCAAATAACAGTTTCTTTATCATTAACTCCTGCAATTTCCCAAGGACCTAAACAGGGGTGTAAGTTACTTAAGACCATGAAAAACAGAAAACAGAACAATTTTTTCGTTTTATATTCCGAACGAACAGAACCCAGTTTACATGAAGTATAGTTGCTATCCACCAAATTCTTAAACACTATGACATTGGAAACTGCTTAATAGCAATTTCTATGCTAGTAGATTTTATTGATAACAAAAAATATCCTACAATTAATTCACTAATTAGACTGCATTCCATTATTCTTATTAACAGGCTAATTTCCATTATTCTTACTAACAGGCTAATAGTCACAGTCCTTGATGTAGTAGCCACATAATATGAGATTTTTTTGCTACAGATAAAATAAATAACAAAGTGAAGAAAATATAGCTCACCCTCCTATCATTTTTTACAAGGGACTGACGAAGAAAGAAACGATGACAAAAAATTATTGCTGTAGCGATGGTTACCTGCGGCCTGCATAATAAAGAATTCAGAACTGATTTTGGAAAATAATCTTAACAGCCTTGATATATTACATTTTAAGGCATAAAAGAGTGCAGAGGAAAATTACTCAAGGGATGCAGATGAATTTATTTCTTGAACACATTTTAATGATGCTTGATGGATATATGCACATATTGCTGAGCAGGAATCCACACCCTCTCCTTAATGACTAACACAGAATATTTATCAATATGTGCGTACATATAAATAGTCTCCATCAAGACGACATTATGGACTTATAACTGACCATGCAAAATTTGATACATGAATGCACATATCCACCCACCCCACCAATATATCCCTCTATCAACACCCACATAATAAATACACATGTATTTGCCTTTGCATGTATATGTTGTATAACGTCCCTAGAACAAAAGTCCCTTCCACCATGTAGAATACCAATGTATTCATAAACTCATACAATGCTAAACAAAAAGGAGAAATACAATTTCAAAGATATGGTTGACAACTAAAGCTCTGTTCGTCTAGTTGATAGGCCAAACAATGCAAATTGCATTTTCATCCACACAAGAAACATAAAAAAGAACATAACAAACTAAGCAAGCAAGCAAGAGGACTTACACTTTCAGCCTCATGCCTAAATCTTGTAAAAATGTACAATATGACTTGCGTAAATAAGCCTCCTTCTTCAAATCAATGCCATCTTGTCTAGAAGGGGAATTTTCTTCAATTTCCTTTCTAGATAAATACCAACGGCAACCACCTTCTTCTAGATTGTCTTGAGAAACCATATAATTTCCTTCATGTACTCCTTGGTGGGAAGGATCGCCAGGAAATAAAGCAGCCATCTATAATTCGTTTCTTTCACCAAAATTTTTTAAAGATGGATGAAAGAGGCCACTCTAAATTACAAGATCTGTTCATATGACAGTCATCCGTCCATCAATATACGGCTAGTAAACTTACATAAGCAGTATAAAATAAAGCATTTACCTTCTAACTTGAAATAATTTATTAGTATCTAAAATTATTAGTTTATAAATGTCTACAAAAATTGTTTGCAAGATGTATCCACGTACCCATATCTAATTTTTGAATCATTTTTAGCCATATCTCCATATCCTACAGTTCAGGAAAAAAAAAAAATGATGCTACTCCTAGATATGCACCCATATCCAAAACCCACGTCCCAGTCCAAGAAACAAAGAAAATAAGGGATCCTAAAACAAAATAGTTGGAAACAAATAGGGGATGCGTGAAATTATTCCCTCATGAGCAAAAGATTGAGAGACATTCAAAAATATAATTGAGCACATAACAATATATGTTCAGGCAAAGCTTATGATGATACGAACTACTTCCCCTACCCGCATCCTAAAAAAAAAAAAAAAGCTACAGACATTTTTTGGCTTGCTTTCTAGCATTTAAGCTCAACCTAATTAAAACTCATATTTCTGATCTTTCTTCCTACCCTAAATCTTGACATATAGTTGAAACTACTAACTTGTTAATTCTTCCACATCTACCATGTTTCCAACATCTTTCTTTGTACTCAAGAACACGGGAGTAACATGTGTTATTCTTTTTTGTTAACAGTAAAAAATGGGGATCAAAATGTAGTAGACCCCAACTTCATCGCAAATGACACTAAGCTTGTATAGACAAGGTGGGATTTATGCATATCTCACACAAAGTTATAGAAGTAGGCAATTAGAGTGAAAATATACAAATATACAACATACTGCTGACAAATATAAATAGAAAGAGGATGAAAGAGAGAGAAAATATCTAAAGCCTTAGAAAGAAATCGAGGGACACATTGAAATTCAATGTAGACACAGACGTTAACCGCTTCGCAATCGATATGGAGGGGAGAAGAATTAAGAAAATTACATTTCAGGGTTCAAACAATAGACCAATTGAAGGGCACTTGTTTGGGTACTACCAACATTTCATGATGGAGAACATGAATTACAAAATCATCTAAGACTTCATACATTTAAGAAAACTCCTCTGCCCCAATAAAGATTTTGTTAGCCAATTCTATATTACCATTTTATTTTATTTTTCAAAAAACGTAATTTCTGATGACATGTAAATCCTTGAGAACAAGTACAGGCAAAAGGAGATTCATTTTCAAGCAATAATTCACAATGGGTTATAGATAGACAGACAAGATACAGAAAAAGCACCATGCGAACTTCAATTGCTCTCTGAAATTTTAGATTTACAGACACGTGAACCAAGCGAAAAATAATTCAAGAAATTGCAGTAAGTAAAAGATAAAAAGGGCCCACATACTCAATTCATTTTTTCCCTGAAAAAAGTAAATTAGCACATATCTGAGGAAAAAAAAACTCACATGCAGCAAAGAAACTGCAGGCAAACTCTGAAATTGAAACCACCCAGAGCAATGCCTGTTACTGATGCACGCATCATAAATAAAAACAAAAGCACCAAGTCGAGTAATCATTTGACAAAATTCACCACAAAAACTTTAATAAGCCCTAAGATTTAGATTAATGACACATGAAAAAGTGTTATATCGTCCAATCATTTGGCAAATATACCATACAAACTTCAATTAATCATGCATACCCATGTCAATTTTTGTACTAAAAAAAATAACCGAATGAGAAAGGCAACTTACACAGGCAGCCAAGAACAGACAGACAGGATCTGATATTGAAACCACTTACAGCAATGCCAGTTTATTCTTAGCTGTAGAATCCATAATTTCATCAAAGACTAGACAAATTTGACAAAATTCGTGTTCCCAAATCGAAATTTATATTAGACAATTACAGAATTCCCAATTTATTCAAAGAAGTTACTTTTGAAGGCATATAAGTTCTTCAAACATATATAAACAGAACCAGATTCAATTTTTAAGCAATACTTTCATATGAGTTACAGATACATACACAATCGATATCCAAAATGTAATCTTATCCTCCAATCATTTGACATGTGCACCACAGAAACTTAAATTAATCCCAAAAGTTTAAGAACCGTGAACCAAGCATTTATCAATTCAAGAAATCACAGCAAGTGAAAGATCAAAAAGAGCCCAGCATACCCAATTCATTTATTGTACTTGCAAACCAAATAATCAAATCTTTGACAAAGAAGCTCACAAAAAGGCTATGAAATCACAACCACTCAAACTGATGCCAGTTTTAGCTAGTAGTAAGATTTTTTTAGCGACTACTCTTGTCCAATTCATACTTTCATATGGGTCATAGATACACACACAACTGTCGTACAAACTTCAATTATAACCTGGTTGTTCATAGTACAGACGCATAAATCAATTTAAGAAATCGAGAAATTAAAAAATAAAAAAGAACCCAACAAACCCAGTTCAATTTTCGTAATTCAAAAATGAAATCTTTTTTGAGGAAAAAATCAAAATCAATAAATCAATGAGAGCAAAAACTCAAAAAGAACCCAACAAACCCAGTTCAATTCTCGTACTGACAAAAGAAACTTACACAGGTAGCCAAGAAACAGGCTGTAGAAATGCCGCTTTCTTCTCAGTTATAAGAATCATATGGGAATACTCTTGTCCAATTCCACCTGGAAATACGTACAAAGAAACTGTGGTAGGCTAAGAATGCTTGGTGATTAAGCTAAAGCAAGAGGAACGGTATGTAAATGCGGATTTGTGCTCAGGGTTGGGTCTGGAGTTGTGTTTTAGGGTTCCAAAAATTGTGAAATGTGGGCGTTGGATTAAGAAGACGCACGCTTTGGATTTAGGGGATCTTTGTTAAACAGCCAAATCAAAGCTATTCGTACAACGAATTATTATTATTTAAAAAAACAATTTTTAAAATCCATGGGAGTAAATTTCTTATGAGTCACATTTATCAACAAATTTATCAATCATGATTATACACGTATCATGATTCGAAAATCAGCCCCTGTTTATCTACTTTTATTTCAAAAAATTATTTGCTACAGTAAAATTCTCCACCACACATTCACCAAATAAAATATTCTACACACAAACCAATAAAATTACTTTATTTTCAACCACACATTTTCCAAAAAATACTATTCATTACTCTATTTTTCTCCAAATAATGGGAGACAAAACACAATCTCAAGTTTTTAGTAAAGGGTTTAATCACTTTGGGGCAGCTCTTGCAGCTCCTTTAGTAAATTTTGATAATAAGTTATAAAATGTGCGATTGAAATTTGAAAAGTTGTAAGTTCCATGTAAAAATTATGGATAATTGTAGTAGCAGTTCCAAACCTTTTGATTTTTCTCAAACTTTATCTTAACTTTCACTTTGTGCCACCCATAATCTCAAACCTTCAAAAATTAGTACTTGAGGTCCAAATAAATGATGTTTGTTAGTTTGACAATTAGCTGACCCAATAAATTTGACTTTGATCAATTTTAAAATGAGTAAAATGGTGACTTTGCATTTAAAAAAATTAAATTAAAAGAACCAAAAAAATAAAAACACATATGGACACATCATCTTCTCTATCCTGACCCCCTCTCACCTACCTAACCAATCAAAACCAGAAAATAGTCCCCCCACCCATCCAGCCACCACTGACCTACACCACCACCACAACTCTCATCACCCAAACCAAACAACCATCCTAACCCCTATGGAAGGGACTTCAATAGACCTAGCAGGCATGTTTCTGTAACTCTTTCACATTCATTTCTTCCATCATAAACCTTTGAATCTTGATTGATCCACCATGCACTCAAAGTACGAAGAAAAATGGAAGCCGCCAAGGCGGCAGCAATGAAGGTAGTAATGTTGAGGATGTGAATACAGGGGAAGAGTTGGCGTGCATTGTCCAACGCTTTTTACTTGCACCAAAAAAGATCGATAACTCGCAACGACAAAAAATCTACAAGACTCGATGCACTATTCGTAATAAGGTATGCATTGTGATCATTGATAGTAGCAGTAGTGAGAACGTCGTCTCCAAAACAGTGGTAAAAGCTCTAAATTCGAAAACTGAGAGACACCCTTTTCCATACAAGATTGCATGAATTAAAAAAGGCCCAGAAGTTCAAGTTTTAGAGATCTGTAAGGTTCATTTGTCGATTGGAAAATATTATAAAGATGAGATCGTATGGGACGTAGTGGATATGCATAATTGTCATATCTTATTGGGTCGTCTATGGCACTACGACGTCGATGCCACTTATAAGGGGTGTGATAACATTTTCATATTTTGGTGGTTGGATAAGAAAATCGTTTTAGTAGCACAATTTCAACTTTTGGAAAACAATTCTGCTGTCAAGGAAGAGAAACCACTTTCTACCAATATATGAAGCCCAAAATTCTTTGAACAAGTAAAAGAGCCACGCACTATATTAATATTAGTAGTTAAATGTCACTCGGAAGCAACTGTACATATTCTCGTCAAAGTTCAAAAGTTACTTGCTGATTTTACTGATATAGCACCTGACGAGTTACCAAACGAGTAGCCCCCTGATGAGGAGTAATAGGTGAAAGACCAAGATTGGCTAACCAAGAGGGGGGTGAATTGGTTATTAAAACTTTTTCTTTAACAACTCAAGATTTCAATAATAATGAACACACAAATGATAATGAATAATTTAAACAAAAGTAAGCACATAAATGGAATAATGTAAATTTGCACAAGGTAGAAGCGTTAAGTAAAATGGAATGGAGAGTGCAAACGATACGATATGGAGTATCGATCCAATGCAATGATCTACGTCCCCCGTTATCAAGCTCTCCGGCACGAGCAATGTCTTTTTCACTATGCTGATTGACTTATGGTGCAATCCAAATCTTTACAACGCTTCCGGTGACTTACAAACAAGGAACTTTTACAATGTTGAGCT